ATCCAATGTCACTGTGCTATTAACACTACTGGCATCCAGGAGAGCCCAGGCTGAGCCATGGTTCAAGGGATGTTCCACACCTTTGCATGCTGCCCTCCTGCTGTAGAGGACACCCCTGCCTGAGCATATCCAGGCAAAGAAACCTGAAACAGGTCACAGTGGTACCCACTTGCCCACACCTACCCTTTAATCCAACTTTCACCAGGAGACCCTGAAACACACAGCAAAAACCTTGCAACAGGACAGGTAGGCACACTCGAAAGGTGCTGCTGGAAGCAGAGAAGCATTGACACAGATGCTGCTGATCATAGGGGCATTGAGCATGTGCATAATTAAAGTCTGTGGTGCTTCCTCCCAGGTCCAGACTCAGATCTTTACTTTCCTGTCCAAACATAAGCTAAAAGGCATCACTTGAACCATGGAATACCCAGAGCTTTTTCCCTCAATTTAACACTTAGGGATAGTAATTCCTCTTGTTTGTATAGAGATGCTTGGTGTCCAGGATTGCTTTTTGAGAGCTTGGAGCATATATGCATTACAGGCTGTTGCTCCTCGCATCCCTTGTTTTGTTCCAGGTGACTAGATTTGGGGGATTTTGTTTTAGTTTTGATTGTGCTTCAAGGCATCTCAAAGCAAATCAGCATCACAGGCATGAAAATTCATGTCCTCAGCTGCTGGGGACTTCCTACAGGGACTAAAATTGGAAGGAGATATTTCACCTGGAAGACAATACAGCTTCTCCCTTTTCTTGCAATAATGAGGAGTGTGGTTACACCAGAGCAGGACTTTGACCTGCAACAAGGGGACATATATCCTAGGGGTGGCTGCTCCCCTCCTCACCAGTGGTGAATTATCTTTGCACTGCCACAGAGCAACAATTTTTCCTGTCTCCACCCAAATGCAGGAAAAGTCAGATGCCAACGTTCACCTGCACAGTGTTTCAATGATGAAGCCAAACAGAAGCAGATATGCACTGAACACTACAAATGAAATATCTGGGAGAGCGAGCACAGACTGAACTAAGCAGGACAGCAGTGCACAGATTGCTTTGTCATGAGTTTCAACTAGAGGGCAAAATTTTGAGGAGGACAAATGCCTCAAATTTAAATGAGAGCCAGAAGAAACATTGTTCTATGTGCAAAGAAAGGTCCTGATACCACACATCAATTTTCTGAGATGACTCAGGGTCACCCATTCATCAGCAAGCCCACTTCCATTTGGTGACACAAGTTCCACTTTGACCATAACAGCTGGAGCCAAGGAACAGGAAAGAACCCCCTTCCCACCAGCACTGCTCAAGCAGGCAGACACCCTGGCAGAGCAAGCCCCACTAGAGGCCAGCCCTTCTGGTCTGGCTCCAAAATAGCATGATGCATCAGGAAACAGAGTGGCTTCATCCTGACATGAGCCTGAAAAACCTGTTTGTGGAAGCACCTGGAAGTAGCAGAGTAGTTCAATACATTTGCAGTTTCCCTAACCGGTGCTATATTTTAAACAGAAACATTCTGGGACAAGAGTAAACATCTTCACTGATTTCAGATCAGCACTTCATCTTGGAAATGCTGCAGCAGCTTCTACAAGGCAAGTAACTCCATGCTTAAAGAGAGGAAGAAATCAAGGCACCTTAGCTAGAGGTTGACTGAAGGAGAGGCAAGCTTCAATATTGCATTTATGTTTCCATGGTACAAAACATCCACAAGGGTTGAATACAAAACAATTCATGTTTGAAGTGTGGGGTTCACATTGAGTATGCCATCAGTTCAAGTATTAAAGGTCATTAGTTAGTGCGTTTAAACCAGTCTCATGTAAACGTGGCTCTCTAGCTTCAGCTCAGCTTGTTTGCATAGGTAAGATTAGTGTTACCTGCCAAATCACAGGAACTTCTCTCCATGTGTCTGAAAGATGTGGGTATTCCAGGGCATTTGCTCCGTATTGCCTAGTTTTAGTGGAAAATTTAATCACATTAAGAACATAATTCAAATTACTAAATCCTGACATTGTCAGATTTCTACATTCATGACACTGTCTTGGTACCAAACAAGTCCAGAATCACACTCAGAAATGCCATTTCCTCCAGGTCTTCCTCCAGCAGCACTGCAAACTGCAGTACACAGCCACCAGTGTGGAACAAGATCAGAGTCACAGAATGGGTGACACTGGAAGGGACCACAGTGGGTCATCTGGTCCAATCTTCCTGCTCAAACAGGGTCATCCTAGAGCACATGGTAGAGGATTGCATCAAGGCAGTTCTTGAGTATCTCCAGTAAGGGAGAATCCACCACCTCTCCAGGCAATCTGGTCCATTATGCAGTCAGCTGCACAGTAAAGAAGTTCTTCCTCATAATTCAGGTGGAACTTCCTGCGCATCAGTTTCTGCCCATTGCCTCTTCTCCTATTGCTTGGCACCACCAAGAGCCTGGCTTCATCCTCTTGACATCCTTGCTTTAGGTACTTACAGGCATTGATTAGGTCCCTTCTCAGTCACGTCTTCTCCAGGCTGAACAGGCCCAGTTCCCTCAGCCTTTCCTCATAGGAGATGTATTCCAGTCCCTTAAATCAGCTCTGTTGCCTTCCACTGGACCTGCTCCAGGAGATCTGTCTCACTCTTGCACTGAGGATCACAGAACTGGACACAGCACTCCAGATGTGGCCTCTCCCCATGATTTCATGCTCTGTAAGGTTAGGTGAGGGGGTAGATGGAGATTCCTGATATACAGACTTTTATCAGGACCAAATAAGCTGAGGCAGCACTTTGCCACTGCCTTTCACACAGCAATAAGCAACAATAGGAAGATGGAAGGCAAAGATGCTGCCCCTCACTCTAAGTTGATTTAGGCTTACAATGCAATAGGGCATGCTCTGAAGTCAGCCACATGCATAAAACCATCAGCTCCAGCTTCACAGAACAGCCTCAACAGGTAGACATGAGTCTCTTCAGATACTTGCAAGTCAGCGCATCTCAGACCTGAAACACTGACCAGATTCAGTGACCTGTAAGGTTGACCAACCCAACCCACTTTGGCACTAAAAACAAAGCCAGTATATTTGGAAAGCATTTTCAAACTTTATTTACAACTGTCACAGTGACAAAAATGTAGTTTGAAAAAAATGCTAGCTTCTCCCTGAGGCTCAAAAAAGAATTACAGAAATATAGAATGCATATCATACAACAGAAGGACTTTTACTGGAGTGCTTTGTTCTTTAGATACGTTCAACAACAAATAGAAATATACACAATACTTCCAAAAAAAGGATGCAGACAGAAATATGCAAGTCTTTGGGGCAGACAGCAGGTCTGAAGTCCAAGGATTGCCATCTCATTGCTGCCCACATGGTAATATCTTTGATATACAGCTTTGACTTGATGGTACAGATGGTAGAGACCAATAGAGAGTAACACTTAGAAATAAGACAACTGGCTGGTATGCAGGTGTACAAGCTTATTCCAGTAAGACAGCAAGACTAGAACAGTGTTACAGATACAACAGCTGAATCCATCACTAGAGAAAATGGTATCACCACATCATGACTATTCAGTGATCAACCATCCCCCCAAGATGGGCAGGGAACATGTGTAACTGGGTCTGCATGGCTGGACCAGAGACCAGGCACAGTGTAGGAACACTGAATTTCTCGTGCTTTGTGCTAGCTCATCTCCAAACTCCGATCTGTCCAAAACAGTTACACAGAGCTGATAAATTATTGCCATTATGTTTAAACACAAGCAAGACAAGACTAAAACAATCCTGCCAATATGTTAAAAGCAGTTCCCAACCCCCACCAGCGTTTAACTACTCATGAGGTATTAAAAATACAAATACACACATGTCCAAATAGATTTTAAAAATGGAACCAGTTATAAGCAAAGGGGGATGGCATTGGGATTATTATGAAAGTTCGGTTAAGGCCTTGACATTTCTTTTTCTCTTCCATGACCCTAGATTTGGTTTAGGTATTAACTGTTCTCATCCTATCCCAAGACCAACTGGCTCCCAAGCTGGTCCCCAAAGCTGCAAGATCATCCCTTTCCAGGAAAGAGGCAGGTTACCCTGTCTGGCAGCAGACTGGCCTTCTCCCCAGATGGAGACAGATGACTTCTCCTTGAGGCAATCTGCACTTTGTTAAACCACCATGAATGTTTCGCCCTTGCTAAGAAGCTGAAACACATCTCAGGTCACCCAGCTAATCCTCTCCTGACAGACTCCTCCTGTAAACCCATTGGTGATCCACACTAGATCTGGTGTTTCGTCTTTGGATGAGCTCCAAGTCTGGCAGCCACCCCACCACATAAACCTCACCCCACCAGTCCATCCTGCACTGAGGTGGTCCTGCAGTGCATAGCTGGAGAACGACCTCCACCCCAGCCCTCTCAAGCCCATTGACCAGCAGCTTAGAGATATGAAACCCTACACATCCTCAAAGACACCAAGGTTAAAGAGGCATACATCTCCACCCTTGGGCTTTGGCAGCCATACAAGACAAGACCAACCACTGCAGCCTCAGCAAACAGGAGAGAAAAATAGGTGGTGTTCAAACCTACACGAGCTCTTGCTGCAGACAGAAGCACCTTTATATCCAGTGTGCATCACCTCACACTAACCACCTGCAAGATAAACTAGGGCATCGTAGTAGAGATGACAAGCAGCAGCCTAACATTATCCTGCAAATACAGCTGTTCAGCATTGAAGAGTCTAAAGGCAAACAGAGGAGGAGAAAATAGCTTTGGGAAAAGTGGCTGGAAAACAGGCTTAACAGCGAGAGCAAGAAACCAAACTACTCCTATGGACACTTGCCTTACCCTAGGAGGTGCCGAACCGGGGAGAGCTACAGGCCCTTTGTCATTAGAGCACTTAGCCATGCTTTGCTAGGGACATCCTTCCACCCCGCAACACACAAAATGGAAGCTGTAAGAAAGGCAAATCTGAGATATTACAGCTTTGTTCTCATGTTTGTAGCCAGAGGCAGCTCCCAGCCAAATGCTGCCACCTCCAAACTTCCTCCCCCTCCCCGAGCTCCCCCCTCCAGCAGTCCTCGCATGGTCACCCTCTGCCATGTGCTTGGAATTTCACTGCTGCCTCCGCCTCGGAAAAATACAGATAATGATCTCGAGAACAGAAAACATTTCTCTTCGTTACTTCCTTCCTTCCTCAGGAGGTCTGGTGATACCGAGGGCTTCAGTTCTCGATACAGAGAATACAAAAAAACTAAGATCTCGCAGGTGCAAAATTGAACTTGTCTTTTTAAAAAGACTTTCAAAAGAAGTGTGGCTCTTCCTTCAGAAGGGTGCAGTCCCTTGCCTTTCCTCAGATGCCATTTATTGCTCCTTGTTGTCCTTCTTTGCATCTTCACAGTTTTCTTCCTCCTCTTCCTCCTCCTGCACGAGGAACTCTTCTGGTGGCCATCTCAGCTCACCGCTCTCCACATCACCCTCTGTTGGCTCCACCACGATTGAGGGCAGACGGTCCTTCAGCTTACAGTAACGGTCAAAGTCTGAGGGATCAGGGAAGATCTGAAAGAGACAAGGAACAGACTGTGAGAGGGGCTGCATTCAAACAGTCTTCACCAAAACCCAACTCAAAACACTTAGGTCTTCAGGGCAGACTGGTCTGCATGCAGTCAACCACTGAGTGATGAAAATACTTTTGAACTTGTAGATAAGCTTTTCTAGTCTCCAAGTAATGGAAATGAGCACTGCCCAAGAGGCTTCCAAAGCACATGCTTGCCTGGATAGTGCTCAGCACACAGGTATCTGCCCTTTTGTATATTTATCCAATTGCCTCACCCTGCCAACCCTGCTTTTGCATTAATGCTCTTGAGTTTGCACACTGAGCTATCTCGATCAGAGAATCTGAGATCTCATTTCCTGCTGCTGGTCAAGCTGCACATGAGAACAGCCTTGCTCTTCAGGCTCTGCAGCTGGAAGGGAGGAGGCAGATGGCAATCCAGGGCTAGAGTGATCCAGAGCTTTGCAACAAGGGCCTGCACCTTGCATAGCTCCAGGGCCACAGTGCTAGCCTGAAATAGACGCTCAGCTGAATTTTAGAGATAATTTTGGCAGTATTCTGCACACTGCAGCTACCATACATCAGCACTGAAACTCAGCAGGAGAGCACTAATTTTATGGAAGGGCTGGAGACTAGACCATATTTCTTCAGGAAAGAGGTACCTGTGGCATAGCCAGCAGTTATGCACCATATTTCTCAGGCAGAGAATATGAGCGCTCCATTATCTCCAGCCCCTCGAGGTGCACAGACCATTACCTTATCCATTCCCTCCCATCCATTGCTCACCACATGGATGCACAAGCTCATGCACTACAGCAGCACCAGGGCCCATACTTGCCGGTAGTGCCACTGGAATGCAAACTTAGATCCTACTAGGAATTGAGGCAAAACATGAGTACAGAGAAAACTGTTGGTGCAATGTGAGCAGAACCTTTGCATGACTAGATTGCAACGTAAACAGAAAAGGCTGTGTTACTTCTAGGGATTCCTTACAAGGGCAACAGCTTCAAACCCCAGCCCACCCAGAAGGGAACAGCTGGGTGACAAGATCCACTTGGTTGGTAACCAAAAGATTAAACAATTACCACCTGTTGTTTCAAACAATGATATCAGAGTGCCCATTCCACATTACGGTTGTATTTAAACACTCCAAAGAAGCCAATGACAAAATGCATTTTCCCTAGAGGTTGTAGATGGGGCTGTACTTTTCTTTGAACACTCCATTCAAGTGCATTGCAAGAGCATCCTTGCAGGGAGCAGCACTGCCAGCCTCAGTTTGAGAGCAAGAGCTGATCTGCTTTGATCTTTGTGGTTCTAGATACAAAAGCAAGTTCCCCAACCAGCAGCCCTGAGCATCATTCTCCTTGTGCCAATCATGCAGGTACCCACCACCTCAGGAAGCCCTAGTCAAAAAAAAGTGAAACATCCTATCGACTCATTCAGCCTAGAAACTATTTAATACACAATTGCCTCCTTGTCAATATTCAGGCTTCTACTGTTCAGCCTCATTTCTCCCTGGTATCCCAAGCTTTGTGGCAAGCAGACTGTCAACCTGAGAAAGCCACCAGGCTGCTACTTATTGCAAAGTCAGGCAAAGAAACAAAAGGTAATGGACAACATAGGCTGTTTGCACATGTTCATCTCATCCTGGGGATAGAGGTGCAAGAGTCCAGCTCCCACTAAAACACCCACCATCCAGGTGCACAAGAGCAGGTGAGGTGTTGAAACACGGCCATGTCAATCTGGCTATTGCGGTATGAGCTACTTGCTATTAGTCACTCCCAGCACAAGTGAGGCAGTAACTGTTTCTTGGAGCTTTGTGGCTTCTGCTCAGCCAAACAAAGGCAGTTTCAGGCACATGGTACATTACTGGAAGTACAGTCCATGGCTCTTAAGCATCAACTCGTTATCTAAACTCAGGATAGGAAAAAAATACCCTTGACATTACAAGGTTTAGAGGGTTGCAATGGAAAAAGAAGTGTGGTTCAGGAGGTTACATAAGCTGATAATGTCATGAAAATAGCCTCCTGTGCAAGAAAAATAGCAGTATAATAATTAAACTAACCTTTGGCTGCTATCATTTTAAGCACATTAGGTCAAATTGGAGCAATTTCTTTAAAAAAGCCTGCCAGATTTTTTTTTCCCAGAAACTAAGTAGTAGTCATTTCCTTACAAACAAATATCTGCAAAATGTGGTGTGCAGCTTTTTTAATAAAAAAAAAACCCTCGCATAATCTTATCTCAAACAGCTGCAGGACAGGCCGAACCCAAGAAGGTCAAGATTTTTTCCACTAAGTCATGCTTTTTAATCGTCAAGGCAGCATGAAGGGAGATGTTGCAACTGCACTTTGAAGGGGTGTGGACGGACAATGGAAAAAATACAGAAAGGCAGACTTCCTCGCATGCGATGGGCAGGGTGACAGCAGGCCAAGGCACCCAAGGAAAAAGACTGCAGATTAAGGCTATTTGCACAACTGGGAAAGTTGGGTGGAAAAATTACCCAAACCAGCCTCCCCACTCCTTATAAAAAGAGATAAGCAAACACCAGCTCTCTCCTCTTCCACTGCAGTAGTGCCATGCTACATTTCTTGGTTCCCTATGCCTAACCATTTCAGATTTAGACAATGGGAAGAAAAAAAACTCCCAAACTTGGAGCAAGGTTCACACCGGGAATGCAACAGCTCAAATCTAACCTGGGAGCTCTGCAACTTTTAGCACAGCAGCTAGGTTAGCAAAACCTGCCTATGAGCTTTTCTGCTCACATTACCCAGCTCAGGTGTATGGGAAGAAGACTCTGCAGCTCCCCAGCACCCAAAGAGCACAACAGACTTGAGTTAACTTCTCCTTCTTGTTCATCACAGCAAGCTGCCTTGCACACAGCTGAGGCAGATGCCTACCCCTGGTTGATCTGGCCACTTGATGGGGACAAGTGGCAACCACCAGCTGGTTGTGATGCCTGCCTAAAAGCCAATTTAGCAGCAATTCCAAGGTATGTTCCTCCCCTTCACTTGCATGAGGGGCTGTAACTGCTTCCGCAGAGCCTCTCCACTGAAGCTAAGGCCCAACTCCTGGCCCATGGAGAGATGCACCTGACACCTCTAGAGCCCCCAGAAGGCATATATGTTGCTTCTTACTCTACTCAACACAGCTTCTTGCTCACAGCAAGACTGGTTTTCACAGGCCCCTCCAGATTATGTTTTGGGAACTGTTCTCCTTGTGAATCAATCCAGATCACATACAAATTGACCAAACTCTTGCCTTGCAGCTGGAAAGGTCAGGGAAAAGCAGAACTTGAAACAAAAGCTTGAAGTGATTTTAGGAAGATCATGTTTGCCTCTGTTTCAGATGATCTCTCTCTCCACTATCCTTGAATGAAGTCTTGGCAACAAGAATGGAAAGTTTTCATTGCTCTGGGGAGGCCATACCCTCTCTCAGCATTCACAGGGATGGAGAAACACCAAAAGCAGGAGAGATGTCAGACAATTAAGAGGATTAGCTCAGCACAACCATAATCCAAGTGACACTCATAAATTCAAAACAACTACCACATGTGTATTTCATACCAACACCCATAGTTAAAATGCTTGTCTTCTCTCCCATGGGGCTGAAAACTATTTAAATTGTATTACAGGGAAACTAAGGCAATGAGATCTTTTCTAATTAAGTTACTGTTTTGGGAAAAAGCTTTGCTTCACTGCAGTAGCACTCTCCAAGTCTGAAAAGCCTGTACTGAGAGACATACCACTACAGGTACAGGATACACCCCTAACATAGACATATCACTCATCCTTCCAGTACTGAAAAGCTGAATTTTGTGCCTCTCCAGCAGTATCAAGCCAATACTCCAAATCCCACAGCATTTCAGTTCTTAAAATAAAACTTTACTACCATTGAAAAGCAACACAAGCTCATTTCAGGAAATATTTAAAGTCATCTCTCAGTGTCCCCTTTGAAGGAATTTTCCAGCTATAAGAAACAGTGCTAATACATACATTTACTCACACAGTAGTCATGACTCGAAACTGAGCTTCATCAAATATGCACAGAGCAGCCATGACTCAGGCTGACAAACTATGATAACTCCTCAGTCACAGACAGATTGCCCTGTTCTGGGGGACAGTGGCAGGGAAACTTCATATATCTAACAATTTTCCAGCAGAGTAACAAGGCATGAAATAGGGAGGAAAAAAACATGCACTGAGATCTTCCAATTAGCTGCTGTGTTCAGTTTGGATTTCAGTGGAACACTTTTGTGCATAGCATTGCTGTGAACATCAGTTTTGGCTCTGTTTATCCCATATCCTGCTTCTGTCTTCATTTAAGGTCCCAGACCCTGGAATTCACATTGACTCAGCCAACCAATCTTATCTAGTAACCATCTATCACCACCTTTTTGCAGCCCAGTCTCAAGACCTTTCACAGCAGCAAGCACCAGCTCTCATGCAAGACTTCCCCTGCACAAATCAAGGCTGCACAGACACGAAGCACTTCACAAGAAAACAAGACAATTACAGAGGGAGTTCAATTTCCATTGAGCCATCAGCCCTTGGGTCAGTCATACACTTCTCTTCCAGTTTAGCTGGAGGGCTGCAGCAGACACACTCAAGCCCCTCAGCCATTAGCACCACAGTAGCTTGGGAAAGTCACTGCTTCCCCAGTGCTGAGGAGGTGTTGCACTCACCAAAAATTACTTCCCCTGCACCAGGCTTTTGCCATGGACCCTGGATGGAGCATTAAGCCTATTTACCTAGATTCAGCCACTCTGACGTGATTCACAGCTAGCTGTGGCTGTGATTAACCTAGACAGATCCCAGCATGATGCGATCATGACTTAAAGAGCTCAAGCTCCCCATGACAACCAAACCTCAACTGATGGCATGAGGCAAGCTCAGCCTCCACAGGCCAATCTCCTAAAAGGGAATCTAAGGTCCTGCAGGACCAGCAAGCCTGTCATCCTGCAGCAAAGTAGCACACTCAACTCAAGACACTGCATTTGCTCCAAATAAACACTTGGGGCATTAAAGTGTTTTCAGTTGTGCTCAGACCCCATTCCACTTCCAAGAAGCAAGGCAGGATTCAGGTCAAAGCGCTGTTTTGACAACAGCTCCATGAAATGATTCATTCAGCCTCAGTTTGAGTGGCATTGTTCATGCTGTTGTGAGATGGCAGCAGAGGACAAGCTGGCAGAGTACTGATGCTTTTCAAAAAATGGGCATTTCTAAGGGCTGGAGAATAGCAAATGGTACATTAACTCCAACTGGCAGCAAAAGAAGGCCTGGTTCACTGAAGATTGCCAGGCAGAAAGTGCATGGAGCCCTCCATAGGCACATCTGTTTGTAGCAGGGGCATCTTGAGCCATCAGCTGCATTTCAACGAGTTTTTTGTTTAGTAAGTCCCATGGGAATTATGGGACATCTATTAAAGATCCAGAAATAGCTCCTCACTGCAGGCACAAGACACAGCATGACATCATCTCTTCAGTCACATCTTCTGTTTTGTCTATGCCACTCTGTTCTGAGACTCATGCCCCAAATTCACCATTCACTTTTGCTCAGGCCCTTTAATTTGTTGGCTAAATCATCTTCGGGGGGCTCAGAGAGCAGCTTTCTGTCACAAACAGAGTAATAAAAGCTGCTTTACATAGATAGATTTTGAAATTAGGACAATAGCTTACAAGCATTTTGCCTATCATGTGGGCAAAAAGCATTCCTATGCTGAGAAAGCATGTTTTGCTAGTGAAACTGTAAAAAATTACTTTAGCCTATGCAGGCAACTCAATTATCCCTGCTATTACTGAGTTTTCACACCACTGCTTAAAGAGCAGTGGCAGCCAGCTCAGCAAAGGCCAGGAAGCTTCACCTGAGAGGGGAATGCAGACCTTTAGCTGATGTCTGGTACAGGCAGACACTCCAGAGCATGAACAGAGGCACGGGGGTGGAGGAGGCAGGAGGAAAAAGTTAGCAACCCAAGTTCCCTCCATAACCAGGGAGACAGGCAGGAGCCCTGAAATTCAGTGAACTCCACAGAACAGAGCAATCAGGTTGCTGAAGTTCACACCCAGGGCAGGAGCTTGTTTCCTCAGTTTACTTCCAAGTAAAGGCAAAAATACTTTGAAACAGTATTCTTGGTAGGCCAAGTCTGTCTGCAGCAGACACTGTGTTTTACAGTTCCAGCAATGCTGCTGTACCACCTCCTCTGGTCCAGGGTCTGCCTATGATGTCAGAAGCAGCCCCCAGCCTCACAGTTAGCATCTTACAGACCAATTCTCAGGCAATCCCTGCTCTACACAGTCTGAAAGGGAGCATTCTCTGCAGTAAAGTTCTACTAAAGGAACAAGAGAAACTTTTGAAGCTAAAAGCTTGTCTCACACAGTTCTGGCTCAGCTTGGGTTTTTTTGCCTCTTGTAGCCAGCCAAAGGATGTTACACTGACACCATGAGTGCCTGACTCTGCAGATGAGTGGGGGAATATGCTGCAGCTTAGAACAACAAACCTCAGTGCAGGAGCAGTCATGCTCCATCAGCCCTGTCTGGTTTTAAGTTATTGCACTACAGCCCTCAGACTAGCATACAATTTTCCATGTACCAAATCCTCTCCATCAGCAAGATGAGGCACAAATTGCCAAAGTCTGAGGGAGAACCACGAGTTCAAGGTGCTATTTGCATTAGCTTTGTCCTTGTGGTTCTCACTTGAGTTTTCAACCCTTTAAGGATGCTTTCAATTTACCTGGATTTACACTGCCATTCTCAGCCTAGCAACCACAGAAAGAAGGTTGGATCCTGCTCCCCAATCCTCTTTACACTAACCTGATTTAGAGGCAGGTCTCATACACAGCCCACACACTGCTAGTGCCATAAGGATCTTCTCTTTCAACACCTGAACTCTTGCTGCCATCAGTTTGCTTTATTTACATCAAGGTGAAGCTCCCAACTCTTGCAGGTATTTGAAAAAAAGTCATCTAAGACTAGACCACTAAAAAGAAAAGATCTAGGATGCAAAAACCCTGCATAGATGTGAGTTGTCAACATTTATGACTCACAGACCTTCAGGTTCAGATGATCCACTCAAAGCCAAATGGGCCTGATCCCCAGCTGGCCCAAGCAAACTTATCAAGGTCATTAGCACTTGAGGGGAAAACCTTGTTGAAGCAATCATTAGAACAAGCAGGGCACCTAGATTCTGCCTCTCACTGGGAATTTCAATAGGTAAATAGAGGCATTTGACCCAGCTGGGTTAAGCCTCTTCATAAAGTGACCCATAAAGACAACTCAACACCCCATGCAGGTTAGTTTGATTGCTTCAGGTTTAACTACTACTCTCATTCCTGTTCACTCCCACTATAAGAGGAAAAAAGAGGCTGTAAGCTTTCCACTAACCCAAGCACTGAAGCACAACACAGCTGTAGACCAACTTGCACTATCCAGATTCGGTATTCTGACTAAAAATAAAAAAAAAGCACATAGCTTCCTCCACATAGTTTTGGCTTCTGCTGGAGGCCTCAGCCGTGGCCCAAAGTTCAGTTGATTTCATGCTCCAGTGCACTGCTGCTGCCTTGTAGCTCGTTTTTCAGACCTAAATATGCAAACATACAGCAGCACACCTCATTTGAATGCACACTTAGAGCAACAGCCTCTGTGCAGATTGTGTAACATCTGCAAAGGACAAGCTCTGCATCTGGATCTGCTGGAAAGAGTCACCCAATGTACAGACCAGATGCAAGTCATCTGCAAGCATTCAGCATCTGTGTTATATCTCATCAACAAGTCTCCTGAAAGTGTAGGAAACCATGAAACTAGTAGGCTATGATGCATAACTTGCACTTAGATTAACTATAAGATAGAAAATTAAAAGAATATTGAAACTAACAGATTGAGGCTTGAGCTAGCTGAAGACTGTCTCTTCACCCCAGCCATTGATCTAGGGTTAACAGCTGACTCCATTGTTCACAACTTTCAGAATTAATGCAGCTGGTGCCTTCAGGTACTGATATTTCCAGTGACATTTCAAGGCTGGTTTAGGCTGTCTCTGGACTCACTGTATCTTACAGAAGACTGTTAACCCTCTCAATCAGGCACATCAGTCAGGAAAACCAAGAAATATATCAAAAATATGTAAATGCCATACAAACATCAGCCTGCTCTCAGCAGATCAATTGTATGCTGTGTTACAAAGATCTCAAGAGTGCTCTCACCCCACTGAGTGGCATGAATCCTTCTTTAACTGATCTCCCCATGTCCCACTGAGCCCCAGGAATGCTGAAAGAGTGGGGGCTCAATCACTTCAAAAACAACAAAGTCCTCTGCCAACCTGCTCTGATACTGAGTGATATTTTAGACAACCGTCTCCTGCCAAGCAAACATTCCAGTCTGTTGACTAGTTCTCACTACAGCAAGACCTGCTATTAGGTCAGGCTATGGAAAGGTACATTAGACTAAGTTTACAGTCCAGCCCAGGCAATTCCACTCAGGGATTAATGCCTCAGCAGCCAGCAAAGCACTTACTTGATACGACAGCCCATCCTTGCGGGGGCTTAGCCCGATCTCATCCATAGCTGGGGTGTTCATCATCACTTCAGTCATTTCAGCGGGTCTCAGATAATCAGAGCTAGAAACAAAGGACAGCATTCCAGTGATCCGAGGGGCTCCGGGAAGACTGAGCAAGATTCAAGCGGCATCGGGAAAGCAAAGCGAGTCTATTTCTGGTCCCTTCCTTCCTGCCCCCCCTTGGAAGGCAGCGGAAAAATCTCAGTACCTCGTAAGCCAAAGCTACATCCAATGCCCTGGGAGCACCTCCCTGGCTCTCCCTCCAAGAACCCAGCTCAAGCACACCCCGGGAGGCTCCAGCAAGCAGCGCTTCGCTTTTAACTCTGCTTCCTCCAGCTCTGCCCCGCAAAGAGAGGAAAAGAAGAAAAAAAAACCCCACAGCAAATAAAGCGCAAGCGCGGTTTGGTTTTTCTTTGTAAAGAAAAAAATATTTATTTTTCTAGCCGGTATGCTTTAGCTCCCGCTGACTTATTTTACAACCTCGGGGACTTCCACACCGAGCGCAGTGCGCGGCGCCAATTCCAGCTCGGCTTTTACAGCCTTAATGGCATTTCCAGCGCGAGAAAGTGAATTCCCACAGTCGGCAGTTCCTCTATTGCGGATCATCCCGCTCTCGCCCGGCTCGCGTGCCGCTCTCCTTCCCCTCGCTTTCCCCCGAATCG